GAAACAGTCTGTGTAAGGCAGAGACAAGAACTGTCAGTGAATCAAATCATATAAATGGAAAAATGGGCTTGCTAGATTTGACTCCAAATTTGAAAATATAAAAGAACACTTGTTCTTAGTCATACCCATTCTCAAGCATGGCATAGAAGTTATAGTTCAAAACTGCCATTCATAATAGCTTATCGCATCTAATATTGCCCCTCCTGGGTCCTAACACAACTGAAGCACACAAATACTTTACTTGTGGTCTGTTTTGTAAGTGGCTCCTTGGGCAGAATTCTCATGGGCTTTAGGAAGGCAACCTGAACCAATCTCCTTAAACGATATTTTTAAATGAGCAATGTTAACTTATTCTGTGGGTAACAATTACTTAAATGGTATTAAATTTCAATTATGGGAACAATACATCATATATGTCATATTATCATGACTCTCGGTTATCTAACAAAATCTAGTCAAGGAAAATAGAATAATACCCTTTCAGAAGGGTTATGATGAGTTCAAGGCACTTGACATTGTTAATCTTCCAAGAAAAAAGAAAAATTCTGGACAGCTAATCTGTTGAGAAAATTTGTAGTAAAGTAATATGGCATACTAATCACACTTGAAGATGTTTGGGTGTTTTGTACCACAATTCCAAGAGATAAGTAAGTATTCTTAACCTCATTGAACAGATGAAGCCATTGAGGCATGGAGCATTTATAATTCCATGCCCCAGGTAAAACAGCCAGTCAGCCACTGATTAAAACCTTAAGCCCTAAGCTCTGGCCATGAGCTTTCCAAAGAACCTGCATTCCATAAAGATGTTTGCTGAACAAAGACAAAACTTGCCTTGGTGGAGAAGAGAAATGTAAGGGTCAAAACATGTTATATGTGCAGGATTTTTTCTTTGTCATTGGGGATCAGTAAGTTTTCTCCCACAACCCTGCCTAGTACCCCCAACTCTCTTTGGTAAGTGATCAATGATTATTTAGCAGGCAGCACACTCTAGTGGAGAAATCCATAGCCAGGAGCTAGAATGCCTGGGTTCTGATTTTTCCCATTCTTAGCTGAGTGTAAGATTAGTCAAGTATCTCAAATCACACACAAAGTTGCCAATAAAGGAAATGAAGATAATTGTGATTTAAAAAATTTTTCCTCTCCTGGGGGATGTGGTGAGGTTGCAGACAAACAATACAAAAGATGATCCACTTAGAAATGGTCAACAAAAGAATGAAACACAGCCACTTGTCAGTGAAGCAGCACTCTGAATGAAACACCAGCCAGAAAGAGAAGCAGGACCCCCAAAAAACCCCCTGAAAGTCTAACAGAAAAAGTCTAACTCGAT